GACTGTGACAATGCTTTTAATGATTTGAAAAATGCTTTGTGTAGTGAACCGGTGTTGCAGAGCCCAAAATTTGATCAGCCATTCACTGTGCAGACGGATGCTTCAGAATTCGGTCTGGGGGCTGTACTTCTGCAAGGGGGCCAGGATCAGTTGCGGCCCATTGCCTATATCAGTAGGAAACTTCTCCCAAGGGAGACAAGGTACTCTGTTGTTGAGAAGGAATGTTTAGCTGTGAAGTGGGCACTGGACTCTTTTAAATACTACCTTTTAGGTAGAAGGTTCACTCTGGAAACTGATCATCGGGCCTTAACTTGGTTGGGGCGAATGAAGGACACTAATGCCCGCATTACAAGGTGGTTTTTATCAATGCAACCTTTTGTTTTTGATGTGCTGTATCGTAAGGGCCCTCAGAACTGTACAGCGGATTTCCTCTCTAGGACACCACAGGGGGTGTCAAAAAGAAGGGGGAGGAAATGTCACGGAGCTAACCCATGACCATTTATGAACTATGGGCACGTACCCTCATAACACACACACACACACACACACAGAGCAGGTAGCATTACACGGTCTGTTTGCCGGCATTGACATCTGTACACGGACTTATGTAATACTTGAATTAGACGAAGCTGTGTAGGATGTGTTTGGTGTGTGTTGAGTTAATGTGTGTATTATGTTCATGGGGAAGTCTGTACATGTTCAATGTGTTGTGTGATTTAGCCAGTTAACATAACGTGACAGCATGTATAAGTTCTGTTTATACCAATACTCATTGTACAAATAACCATAAGACTTATTCATGGTGTTAAAACATTTATTTGATAGTTTATACAGATTAACAGATATACTTACTAGCAGTGAAACATCAGTTGCCAAATCTGTGCTGTACAAACCTTGAGGTATTTAAACCTGGTATTTGTGTCACCTGAATAGGTGTTTGAGGTGTCCATGTTTTCTTGAGGTCAGTAGAAGGGTCCATACAGTTGCAGTGAAACAAATGTATTTCTGGGTGGTCTTTCATGCTTATGTCTTGTGGGTTTAAAACTGTATTGATATTCGGCTAAAGGTTGTATATGGTAATTGTGCCTGGGCTTACCCATAGAGTGGTACGCTCCTGAGGGCGGGGTTTAGAATGTAAAATGCCGCAAGAGATGTGCTCTGGCAGCAAGGTTGGCGTGCTCGTGCTCCTGTTTGATTCACAATGGCAGTGAACGGACTTTTTAAAATTGTATAGTTTTGATTGTTTTGTTTTTGTAATATGTCTAACTTGATTCTGGTTACCTTTGTCACCGATTGCACAATAAATGCACCTGCAATGGGACTTTAGTGGACTGGTTACTTTTTACCCCGGCCGCAAAGGCTATTCCGGACATTTATCTTTTAAGTTCATAAAATATATTTGAAGAGAAAAAAGTTTACTCATTAATGCATATGATGCAGGTTTTAAAGCGGTTTATTATGCTAAAATTATGCTTTGTAATTGCCATTTTGAAATTTACCATAATTCTTGCATAAAAGTCACAGTTCAACTGTAGTAGGCCTATTAGTAAGATCATGATATGTATGGTTTCCAAAATAAATAATAATACATTTTTGCAGTTGTAGTAAAAAAAAAAAAAAGTGTAAAAATAGTAGTAAACGATTCTCTAAAAGTAATTTCTAACCTATATTTATTATAAGTAATTATATCCATGGTGTACTCTGTCCATGGTGTACTCTGCCTGAGCAGGTCTCCTCTGTCCCTGAGGCAGTGTTGCATATTCAAACTGGAGTGGCAGGGAGTATTGGGTTCAGGTTGGTCTCGAAACTGGGCTGAAAAGTCGTGCTCTCACCAATGGAGGTAATGTTCATTCACCCCAGATGTTCAGTTAGGTCAGGGTACTCATCCATCAAAGTTGGACTCGGTGCAACCTGAGGACTGTGAGCTCTGGCAGCTGCTTTACTTGACATCAAAATGCACTCTTCTGTCTCTGAGTTTGTCTGATGTACAGTACCTTCTCACTGGTCTGAGAGGAGCCACTCTGGATTTCCTGATGCTTGGCTGACAGGTGAAGTGGATCTGGAATGACCCACTGTGCTCTGTGACTCTTCTTCTGCTCTGGTTTGCTTGGTGGGCACCGATGAGACATCGGTCCACTGAGCTCATAGTCTGCCAAGCGAGCTGGTGGGTTCACTATTCTGCTATGTGGTACAATGGGAGCATCGTTCACTGGATGAGATATCCTTAGCTGCAGCCGTTCACTCATCTGGCTTGAAGGATTATGTACAAAAACTTGGGATGTAAAAACCCTTTCTATTCTGGTTTGAAAGGGTTAAACGACTTGCAGACCCCTTGTTTTGTGGGGCTTATAATAAGTCCCTGTAATGTTAATGTTTCTGATGTATAAGGAAAAGAGTACCCCCAGATGTTTTTATTTTATAGAGTTCATTTTGATAGCTATGTGTTCTAAATTCATGATGGGTTTAATGTATAAAATGTGATTTATACCTCAAGTAGGCAAATGTAGAGGGCTCTAGCAGAAGAAAGGTGCAAGCAAGGATTAGAAACAGAACAATAACTGCTTGTGATGTTAGTGAACTTACGCACAGTTTAGTGTGCGCTGTGAATAAGCACTTCTGTGATGTAGGTTGAGAAAAAGAAAATGATTAAATTAACCCTTAAAACTATGCACACCTGGAACTTCTTTCATTTTGGCATGCAACATTCTTATATGAGGAGTCAGCAAAAGAATAGACTAGAAATTCTCGCGATGGCGCCGACGCTGATGGCTGCCTCCGTGGCGTGCTCCGCAGTTGTTTTTATGTTTTTGTTAGTTTGTCCTGTCTTTAGTTATATCCCTGCAATCAGTTTCACCAGAGACGAATTGCTGGACATTCGGAAGTACACACCACCCGATATTTCACCGGTTTTTGACTATTCTGATGTTTTGCTGGACATTGTAGTCGGGGGAGCTGTGGCGCTGATCAAGCGCTTCAGGACGCACAGACGGGGGAAGCGAGCCGGCGCCCTCGTCAATCTCAGGCAGCGCAGATTCAGAACGCCGTTGCCTAGCATTCATCTGACACAGGAACAGTTTCTTTCCTCAGGCAATCCATCTCATGAACACTTGACAATAACTGTGGAACACACACTATTTATTCACTCATACACTTATTTATCTAACACATGCTCAGTCTACATTTCAATTTGCACATAATATACCTGTACATACAACTGTCTATTGTTATATACCTGTACATACAATTGTCGATTTGTATATTTTTATTCCTTATTTACTTGTTCTATTTTTTATTTATTTTTATTATCTGTTTTTTTTTTGTTCTGTCACTGTCATTCTGTTGCACTGTGGAAGCTTCTGTCACGAAAACAAATTCCTCGTATGTGTAAACATACCTGGCAATAAAGCTCATTCTGATTCTGATTCAGAAAGCCGACTAAGACAGTACACTGGAAAATCTACCTTTTCCACAGAATTTTGCAATAGTTTCCAATGTAATAGTCTAGAAATTTACAAATAATAAACTAGAAAGATTACTAATACAATACAACTAACATTAAAAATGACTATAACATGCAAGTTGCCTCTAAATAGCATTTGAATACAAATAAACCACTAATAAAACTGGGCCTTTTTTATAGAAGCAGTCCAAGTGCCTGAAATTCAGTGCCCACTGACTCCTGCCTATGGTGGAAACAGAAAAATCAGCATTATAGAAGAGATATTTATATATCTGTGGTTTGGTATATTAAAGGGGGCAGTCATGGCCTAATGTTTAGAGGGTCAGACTTGTAATCTGAAGGTTGTGGGTTCGAGACTCAGCACAGGAATTGTAGGTGGGGGAGTGAATGAACTGCTCTCTCTTTCCACCTTTCCCCAGGCACTGCAGCCAATACAACAATAAGACTGAAATTCTGAAATTCAGAAAAAAAATCAAATCTTCCCTATTTAAATAATCTTTTTTGATTAATTGATTTGGTCTAACAAAATGTTTTTGGTGTGACCTATGTGTATTTATGTTGTACAATTAAGACTCTTCAATGAAACAATGAAAGTGCACTTTAGGTGAAAAGTCTTTTCAAAAAAGTCAAAGAGACATCTGATCATTTGATCATCTCCTTTGACTATGGTAAATGCCTTTTTCTTTTCACAGAAGACCTCTGATCTGACACTATATTTAGAAAACCATAACTGATCACAAATGGCCAAATGCTGGCGTTATCTTAGTTGCATGCTGTTGTTCGATTTAACAGATTAAAAAACAATGACATTTGTATTTGTTTTCCACTGGGCACAATTCAAATGAAATCCTCCATGCAGATCACAGAATATTATGATTTTAAAACTAACTTTGGAAATACTGATAACTGCGTACCTTAAAGCATGAAAATCAGTCAACAGAGCTACATTAAACACATTACACATGGAGAGGCCTATACTGTATATGTTCATATGGCTTATTTACAGTACATCTGTTTTACAAACATTATTTACTGAGATTGCAACTTTCATGCAGTATGTTGTGTTTAATCAGGAATAGGAAGTGGGGGTTGTTTGCTTGGAAGGATATAAATGGATTCATAAAATATCTGACCTATGAAAGTTATGCTATAGGGAAACAAGCTGAACTCATTCCATAGAACACAACAGTAAACACACTGCCAACAGGTAAACACTCTTTGAACAGAAGGCCTGTTTTGAATCTGTGTTCAAGTTCATGCATATATCATTCATTCTAACATTTGAAATGTGTTTATTTTCAATTTAAATGAAACCAGAACCTGTTTTAGTAGCCTCTCATACGTCTTGTTTTCTGTTCTGTTTAAGAATGTCTGGACTCTTGCCAGACTCCTTCATGCATCGTTCCTTAGAAAGCCCATCAGACAATAGAGTGCTACAGCTGTTAAAAATTTATCTGATTCAATGGTTTTCCAGAGAAATGTTGTCAAATCGTCCTCCTTTGGCTCTATTTAAAGGAGCAACACAGCCAGCTTGCTTCACATGCACGTTAAAGCACAGCTAAAGCAAGAGAAAAGCAAGATCCTGAATCTGAGCGAACGATCCCTCTCGCTGCTTAAAATGAAGACTGTTGTGATTGTTTTCCTTGTTGCAGTAAGTAACCAAATTGATTTTATTTATTCATTTTTATCAGTTTAATATTACAGTTTTCAATTTCATAAAATTTTTGTTGCACATTATTTTAAGGTGTCCTAATTACACTGTAATTATACAGTTACAAGTGCTGAGCGATATTAGTCAATACCATGTACTTTCTTGGGATTTGGGTTTGATTTAGGGTTAGTTGCTTGTAATTACTTGTAATTAATTAGTGCATAATTACATATTACATATGTGTAATAGGGACACTGTAATAAAGTGTTACCAAAACATTTTACTCGTTTTATAAAAATAAATATATTAAAATCACTACTTTCTAAAAAAGTGTTCAAATAATTCACATTAAAATACTGTAAAAGCAACCTTATTATTGGTTACAAGCTGCATTGGTTGCACTTTAGTTTGGGGACCAATTCTCACTATCAACTATTAACTATGACTTTTGCCTCTATAAACTCCTTGCTGCTAATAGTTCGGAAGGTAGTTGTTAAGTTTAGGTATAGGATAAAGAGATCTAAAATACAGTCATGCAGAATAATCCATTAATATGCGCTTTATACGTACTAATAAACAGCCAATATGCTAGTAATATGCATGCTAGTTAATAGTAAGAATTGTTTTTTTTAAATATAGTGTTACCATTACCTTATTATCCTCCAGAACACGATAGCTAAAAGGTAAGAATTTGAAATGAATGGAATATATTATTGAGTTTCTAATTGATAAATTGCAATGTTTTGTGTAATATTTTTCTTTTTCAGAGTGTCTGTATTCAGAGTGCAACCCCATCAAAACTAAACATGCGCAAAAAGCGAGCCTGGATTGTGGATTTCCTGACCATGGAAGAAGAGCACACTGGTCCTTTCCCATATAAACTGGGAGATGTAGGTTATACTGAAACCTTTCTATAATAACTGGCCACTTTATAGCAGAATATCAACTGATTCAATTAAAAGCAATATAAGTTTTTGTAAGAGCATAGAATTCTGAGTTTGTTCTCAACCAAATGAATCATTTAGAATGTTTCCATCCTTTTTAAGTTAAATATTGAGAAGCAAGTTATCGAAGAGTACGCCATTCATGGACAGGGCATCGACAAAGACCCCAAAGGAATTCTCTCTGTGGACAGAAACGGCTCAGTTTACGCTCATAGAAAAGTTGACTATGAGGAGTACCAGAAACTGAGAGTAAGTCCTACAATAAGCAGTGACTAAGTTAAATAAGTATTTTTAATAGTTAATACTGACTGTTATTTTGTTGACTTGCAGATCTATCTTTCTAAAAAACATACAATAGTTGCTGTGGATATCGATATTCTGGATGTTAACGACCACGCTCCTGTTTTTAATCGGGATGTGTATGAAATCGCAGTAGATGAATCAACACAACAAGGTATGACTCAAATATACAAAACTGGTTTAAACCGGTTTCCAGGTGAAAGAGCAACATTTCACCTGATCCTCTTTGTATTGTTTTACCCAAAGGTAAGCTTCTGGTCACAGTGCTGGCAACTGATAACGACCAGCCTGGCACAGCAAACGCTCAGCTCACGCTGAGAATTGTCTCAGTGTCTCCCTCTGCCTCCAGTGCTGACTTCTTCATTCAGCAAAGAAAAGGAGAGCAGACGGGAACCATATCTTTCAAGGGATACCTTGATTATGAGGTAACATACACAGTTTTTCCATCCTGAAGTCCTTTGTTTGTATTATTTAACATTAAAATTCCTGAACTTTTTCAACATGCATTAACATCCATCCATTGACAAATAAATAGTGTTATTAGTATTGTATATGTGACAACAACATTATTATTCATTCATTTAAAACACATAAATTAGAATACATCTTGTATGATGAGCATGTTATTATTTCAATATTAAAATTAATTAAAAGGTTTTTAAGATCATTCGGATTTTTTGTCAAAGTCAAAAAAGTCAAAGTGTTACAATTAATTAATTATAATTAGGTAGCTTCTTTTTTGGTATTTTATTAATTTATTTGTATTTTTTATTTTTTTTTGTAAATAAAATTGTTTCACTGGTAATCGTAAATCATAAGATCTACAATAAAATAAAAGGCCTCTAAAGACCGTTGTGACTATGGTCAATAAATGTCATAATATCTCTGAATAAATATTTCACTATATGTAAAAAAAATATATATATTTTTAAGGTAAAAATATATATAAAAAACCTTGTTAAAAATGATTACGATATGTACACTTATTCAAATTATTATTTTTTATTTAATGGTTATACCACACAATGTTATTAGAGCTATTAAATTTAAATGTTTCCTGAAACTGAATGCAGAGAATACAGTCCCAAGAACTTGACAGACGTGTTTTTTTCCTTTTCTTTAACATGCAGAATCGTATTTGTCATTTTGTCTTTTCCTGTTTCAGAAACTAGTTTTTAACAATGTATTCGCAATCTACACATTACCCAGTCAAACGTTTGTGCTATTAAACTACTTACCACATTTTAGCATAAACCCCAATCTCATTTAGTATTAGGAGTTTTTATGCATGCTTTTTAGCTTTTTCGATCAAAAGGTCAAAGATCATCTGACACAGATGTAGTTCAGATATAGTATTCAACTTTGCTGTGCCTTTTTCAATGCAGGAGGCCCCAAAATACACTATTCTGGTTGAAGCAAAGGATCATGGGGAGAAGATGCAGCTCTCCAGCACAAGCACAGTGATACTGAATATCATCGACAAACACGACCATCCATCAGAATTCACTAGGAAAACGGTAAGTAGACCAAGTGTAAACTTGTTTCTGTCTTCAGAGCTTTCAGATGTTGCTATTTAGGTAACACTTTATTTTGATGGTCCCTTTTGACCATTCTGTTGACAACAAGTAACTTTGTGTCTACATGTCAACTAACTCTCATTAGAGCATTAGTAGACTGTCTGATTAATATCTGCTAAATATTTATTAAGACATTCTACTGACTCTAAGTAACTCTGCAAGTGCATGTCAACTTATTCTTACCCTAACCCTACCAGTCTACTAATACTCTACTAACACTTAGTAGGTGCAATATTACTTATAATCAACAGTGTGTTAAAGGGACCATCAAAATAAAGTGAAACCAGTTATTCTGATTGAATTGTTTTGATGAGGGTTATATACCTCTATCACTGTTGAACATTCTAGAGGAAACTCCAGATGCACATTAATGTCCTTTCCAATCACCGTTTATTCAGAAAGATGCTAGTGACTCCTCAGTATTGAAGAAGATGAAACAAGTGGGTGCAATGGAGAGAATGGAGTCTGGACTGATGCTGGAGGCCAACAAACTGGCCATGTGTCTGTCTGAGGAGACGACTGACATTACAGCTCTCAGCCCAGCCCTGTACAGCCCACCAATACACTTCGAGCTGACTGGAGACGTCCAGGGGAAATGGAGGCTTCAGTCTAACTATGGTAATAGAAAAAAAAAATCATCTTTTAAACACTGTAATAGCAAACAAATGTGTAATTCCATTTTCTGTTTTGTTTTGTTTTGTTTTGTTTTTCTCTCAGGTACATCTGTGAGGCTGATCAAAGAGAGCGCCGTACACGCGGGCGATCATCAACTCACCCTGAAGATCTCTGACAGCCAGGGCCAGCATTCGGTCCAGACCCTCTCGCTGCTTGTGTGCGACTGTGATGTTTCTGCAAACTGCAAAGACCCAGCAACAAAGATGAACGTCACTGCCATCGCTGTCGTAATCCTCAGCATCCCGGTGCTGCTGGGTAAGAGCAGGATTTCATTTCAAGCACAATCCTGGGTTTCACATTCACTTTGAGCAGTCGGCAGAAATGCTTGTTGGGTTCATCTAAATATTTTATTCTGCAAGCTGCCTCTGCATTATATTACTGGAGGATGCATTTTAATATCAAAAATATTCAATACATTTTAAATTGTATATGAATCCGTATACACTACTATGCAAAAGTTTGGGTAGGTAAGATGTTTTTTTTTTTTAAGAAATCAATACTTTTATTCAGCAAGGCTGCATTAAATTAATTAAAAATAACCGTAAAGACATTTATAATGTTACAAAAGATTAATCAGCGCAACTGTTTTCAACAGAAATCAGAAATGTTTCTTGAGCAGCATATTAGAATGATTTCTGAAGGATCATGTGACACTGAAGACTGGAGTAATGATGCAGAAAATTCATGATCACAGGAATAAATTACTTATCTAAATATATTCATATAGACAACTGTTATTATATATCATAATAATATTTCACAAGATGACTGTTTTTACTGTAATAATATATTTTACTGTAATTCTTAGAAAAAAAGGTACAAAAGCTGTCACTAGGGCACACTTTTGTACCTAAATAGTCTATATTGATATCTTAAAGATACATATTAGTACCTAAAGTGTACCTATTAGTACCTAAAAGGTACAAAAGTGTACCTTTTGAAAAGGTACCGCCCCAGTGACAGCTTTTGTACCTTTTTTTCTGAGAGTGTGTATCAAATAAATGCAGCCTTGAGCTGAAGAGACATCTTATCGACCTCAAACTTTTGAATGATAGTGTGTCTGAAGTTGTGTATCTAATAATTGTGTGTGTGTGTGTGTGTGTGTGTGTGTGTGTGTGTGTGATTTCAAACAAAAGGTATCCTGTTGATGGCGTGGTGTCAGATCAGAGCAAAGAAATGTGCAAAGCACCAAATGCTTTTAGTGGAGGAATCAGAGCAATCTCTTAGTCCTGACAGCACTGAAACACATTGAACTTGATTGCATGGTACGCATTATTTTTGCAGTTTTATTCATTAGAATCATCTAGCACCAATTTCAGCTATTTTAGCAGGATTTGTTATTTAAATATCCTTGATATGATGTTTCCGATTATGTAAATTAAAGGGTCTATTAAACAGCTAGATCTAGATCCAATCACAGTTTCTGCTGCAAATTATGCACCTTGTTAAACCCAGAGGCTCAGACTAATGTCCTCTATTATCCAGGCCACAGCTTTACTTGACGAACTCCTCGAGCCAGAGCTGGAACACGAACACTCCCAGACTTCACTCATGCCACTGAATGTGCGGTGAAAATATGAAGGACATCAAAAACTGATCTTGATTAACGCACTATATGACTGACTTCTTGCTTTTACGCTGTGAATTAAAAGGAAGGGCTGCTTTGGTTGTTTTAAATGTAATTCTGCTTTATGTGCATGGTGTGAATGAATATGTAAGTGTCATATTTATATCAGCTCATGCAAATGTGAAATCATTCATAAACAACCCTTACCTCTTGCTAAGACTGGGTATTCTTACACTGGTTATAGTTTTTAAATTAAATGATTTTTTTATACATAAGTGAGAGATTGTTCATGTTTTGTGATGATTGTTTTTTTAATATTGTTAATTGTAATTTATTTATTGCAGTCAAATAAAAGGAAATAAAAATAATCTGTTGCTTATCTATTTTAATTACAATCTGTGTGGCCTAAATTGTCCTTACTGGCCTTTGAACCTGGATGTGGAAAGTGGATGTTTCACTGATTTCCACCTGATGGTCTTACACACCCAAATGGAATAAACATTAATGTCTTGGTCTTTTAAAATTTGACAGTACAAGTGCACACATTCATAATGAGAATCATATCACCAGAAGACCATCACCCAATATAGGGCACATTCACATTCCTTCTGAGAGACATGATTTGGCAAATTAGACAGAAACTTGTTTTTCTTTACTGTTCAGATTCTGTCAGCAGGAGGAAAAAATACCATGTAACACAAGAAAACACTGCTACTTTAACTAGCGTAATTGAGAGGAATGTGTAAGACACATGACTGCTCTAAGTTGATTAACAATGCATGCATGTCTGTCTAGTACTTAGGCTTGTTTAAGATGCCTTTTTAGCAGAATTGTTAAACTAGTGAGATATAAATAATAATAAATAATATAAAAACATTATTCAAAATTAGTTGCTTCTTCAACTTTGAGCATTTTAGCCCTGTGGAATTTTTAGCAAATTTTAGACAATTCAATTTAAGCTTTTATTGTCATTTAACCTTGTGAGGAAGCAAAATTGTGTTTCTCAACAGGTCTGCTGCTTATTTTACACAAGACTATTTTGAATTTATACAATTTATATAATTTTTTTGACTGACATGAATACTTCTACTACACATCTGAAATCACCATTTATTCTGTGATGGAAATGACATTATAAAAAATGTTTGAATGAATACACTGACTCCTTTGTCTTGTCTGGACTAATTTCAAAGCTAGAATTTTATGTAGGCCTAAAGATACATAAATATTTAGGGCTGGGTTTTGACACAAATTTCACGATTCGATTCTATTCTCATTCACAAGCTTGTGATTCGATTCGATTACCAATTTGATAAGATTCGATTCAATATCGATTATTTTGGATATATATCAGGTACAATACATGCCAAATTTTCTCAAGGAAAAAAAAAATCTCAACTAATGCTGTAAAATATACATGTGAGTCAGTTGGTGCTACATTATAATATTGAAGGTTAAAATTGACTGATTTGTTAAAATTACACTTAATGACGTTTTTAAAATAATAAAGTTGCAATTACATAATAATATTTCTACTTTTTTAAAAATATAAACATAATGGTGGCTGTCATTAAAAACTTGGATTTATTCAAACATAAATTAAACATTGAAGAACAGTAAAATGTATAATGAATATGTCATATGGTGCATATATTTAGCAAAATGCCCCTCTCTACAGTTTATTTTTCTATCTGACTAATGAGTTTATGGTCACCGAATATGTTTTTCTGAGGTAAATGTGACATGGCGTGACATTGTTTACAAGCCGTTATATTGACGTCTTTGCGCGGCTGAAACACTGATTGAGAGATTACATGAGACAGGATACGGATTGTAAAGTTGTACTCTTTCTTTTAACTTAACTTCGGATGTTTAGTCATGTTTATTTTGTGCTGAAACTGGTATTAATGTGGAGAAGATGATCAGTTCACGTGGGCCTCGCGTATAGGGTTAGATCTCTGCCACAATTCTGCGCGCGAAAGATCATATTTTGAGCGCACAAAAGTGCATTTTGCACGCGCGCGATCTGAGTTTTGTAGAGAAAATGTTCATTTTGCAAAGAAAAAAGTATTTCGAGCGTACTAAAATCAATTTTGCATTTAAAATAAGTTTTTGGATGTGTGCAGACCTTCTCTTTTGCGCGTGCAACGTTTCACTAGCTTGCTCACCTGATGCCCGCCCTCTGTGCTCGCTAAATGTCAACGGCTCCCTCGCTCATCACAACCCAGCGTTACAATATGCCATAATTCCAGCTAATCAGAGATGAGGCTGCTAAATTCTGATTGGCCAATCACAACATTCTAGGGGGGGCATCAGGTGAGCAAGCTAGTGAAACGTTGCACTGGCAAAAGAGAAGGTCTGCACACATCCAAAAACTTATTTTAAATGCAAAATTGATTTTCATGCGCTCTAAATACGTTCTTCTTTACGAGACAAATATTTTCTCCACAAAACTCAGTTTGTGCACGTGCAAAACGCACTTTTGTGCGCTCAAAATATGATCTTTCGCGCGCAGAATTGTGGCAGAGATGTAATTCCATAGACTAATGGATTCTTGGGATTTAAGAATCGATATCGTTCCGTAAAAATGAGAACCGATTAATATCGAGATATCTATATTTTTTTTACCCAGCCCTATAACCCAGGATCACATGTGATATTTTCCTTGATAAATATTTATGTATTATTTATTTATCTCAGTTTTATTAGGGGCAAAATTGTTGTTTGTGATGGAAATGGTGAATAAATATTTACATAGCCTAAATCATTTGTAGGCTACACAGTACTAAAATTATATTTTAGTGTGGATCCTCTGGAGTGAATGGGTGCCGTCAGAATGAGACACCAGGCAGCAGATAAAAACATCACAGTAATCCACAAGTCTGGGTTTATATTGCTTTCAGTGGAGAAATATTTTACTCTGAAGCAAAGGTTTGAAGTTAAAAATGTCACTTTTCAATTCACAGGACATTAATTGATGGACTGGAGTGGTGTGCATTACTTGTGGATTATTGGGATGTTTTTATCAGCTGTTTTTGTATTTATTTATCTCTCTCAGTTTTATTAGGGGCAAAATGGTAGCTTGTGATTGAAATGGTGAATAAATATTTACATAGCCTAAATCATCTGTACACTAAAATGTTAATTTATCTGTTTGTTCATCATGTTTTTTAAATGTTTTGGGATGGAATTTCATAATTTAAGACTACAAGTCTAGGTCAAAGGTAATACACAAAATAAATAATGCAAGGAGGCCTCTGGTTCCAAGTTTTTTAAGTGACAAACAGAAACGAGTTAAAATCTGCTAGTTTTAATAAAGCCCAGCCCCTGGGACATACTTACAGTAGCTGAGTGATGAGAAGGATACAGTGGGGTGTATCGGGCGGGTGTTGTGTCGTGGCAGGACCGAGGATGGGCGGACTTTAAAACCAGCAGCCAGGAAGAGACAGCAAAGCCGATACTTCCCCGGAGCACAACAAAAAGAAAACGGTAAATGTTTTTAAATGTTTTGTGCAAATACATAAAGTTAACGAGAATGGAAGATGAGGAAATCGTGAGATCGTGCGCATTTTCACTGATTTATGGATTTATTTTCTGTTCAACGGCCTGAAACTCACTGTGACTGTAAACATATATATTTCACACGAGCTGCATCATTTATGCTGATGATTGATGACAGCAGTTCATCATGATCATGATTAAACCTCATATGAAGCCGAGTTGCTTTCTATGCTCTTTCTTTCAGCCTTTTGTTTTTTGCATAAGCTGAATTAAAGATAAAATATTAAACGGTTAATGAAATCCACAGTTTAAACCGTTCAGACATATGTTAAAATCAATGTTTCAGTAGATTAAAGCAAGCATTGTTCTTGTTTTACTTTGGGTTGAGCTTTCTTAGCAAAGATTGTGTAATTTCGCTTACACCGTTTTCCTGAAGGATTACAGTCAGATACATGTTGATAAAATAATGCTGTACACTTTGTTTCTTAACGTCTTTGTAGCATTATGTAATGGGGTGTCGACCCTTTTCTGTTTTAAGTTTTTTTTTTTCTGAGAAATGTCGGCTAACTTAGCCAGCCCTTTCACTTCACGTTTATCACTTGCAAGGCGAGTCTGCTTTTAAAGAAGAACTGTTATTTTGCATGCTAGTATATGTGTTAAAGTGGTTGTTGATGTTTTATGTTGTATTATTGTGTTATTTGTGTGAATGAATGTTTTGATGGTGGGATGCGGTAACAGGCCTCGCGACATGACGGTTTATTTTCATCAATATATCGATCTTTACACGCAATAATACACCTAGACAATCGTTAATGTTGTGTTTTACGGTTACAGCATTTATCGTTTGGTCAATATTTGTGGAAAATCTTGTTTTCTTTTTCAACATAGCGATACAGATGCAGTGTAACTTCCGGTCAAATGATATTTCCGCAGCTGTGTTTCCGGTTCATGTTGACTATAGAAATGATTCCCAGAACACATCTGACTTCAACATCTATCTATCTATCTATCTATCTATCTATATAAAGCAAACTTTGCATTTCTCCACTTTTAAAGCTGCTTTTTCACTCCTGGTCTCTTTCTGAAAATGCTTCAGATCTGTAAAGCTCTTTTTGCCTGTCGTTTGTCTCATCTCTGTCCTCTGCAGATGGCTGCCATTCGTAAGAAACTCGTCATAGTGGGCGATGGAGCCTGTGGAAAGACCTGCTTGCTTATTGTTTTCAGTAAAGATCAGTTTCCTGAAGTCTACGTGCCCACAGTGTTTGAGAACTATGTTGCAGACATTGAGGTCGATGGAAAACAGGTATGAAAGCGCACACAGTTTGTAAACCATTATTTTCATTGAGATGCACCAAGAAAACAATGAATGCATTGTAATAGCGTGCAATATTTACTTCAATAAGTTTTCGATTAATTGATTGAACTTACTAACTTGAATGCTATCGCTGCTGCTAAAGTTTAAATTTACCATTGGGAATGTGTATACCAAAATACATCAC